ACTGAGCAGCATGTGGAGGAGGAAAAGTTAATTACAGAGCTTATTTTTCCAAACATCAGCAAATTTAGCTGTGCCATATTTTTTTCATTGAATAAACATGGAATTAACCCAGCCTTGTGTTAAAAGCTGATGTGAGCACAATGAAAAGCAAAAAGTATCAGCAACATTATGCAGCACAACAGTACAGCAACATAGTCATACAAAGCAATGAAGCAGGTGGTTGTAGAGGTCGTGTGATGCAGCCACAGGGGCTTCATGCTCATATGTTCATACCTGAGCTGTTAGAAAAGACTCAGATTCTCTTTGTTTCATGCTCCTCAGGCTAATTAGTGCCAAGCTGACATACGACACGTAAGAAGTTTCTCTCTTATCGCTTTACTGCGAGGCTTTACATTCAGCTGCTTTATGATTTTAAAACAATCTGCTTGCTATAAATATGTTGTTTCACAATCATTTGAGCACACTGTCCTGCTCCATCCGTAGTTAACACTGGAAATATAGCAACATGGTGGAGAGGAAACTCAGTGAAGGACGTCTAAATCTGCCAGGGATCTGAACATAAACACAAAGTCTGCTCCATAATAACTGAATATTTCATCATTTTTACACCATTAGTTTGGATCAGGTGATCAAACTGCTATCAACTTTCTCCGTTAGCTTTTCAGAGTTCACACTCCAGATTGAATCTGGACCAAACAGTTGAAGCAGAACTGGTCCATGAATTATATTTTGAGGAAAACAGAGCAACAGCCATGTGGGAGGCGACATGCAGCTGCCGTTGAAATTGTTTGCCTTTGAAACAGTTTGCTTCATTGCATGCAGTCTCTAGAGGGAGCTAGAGATCAGGGTGATGGTATGGAGACCTTCCAATCTCAAAGTGTTGGAGCTAATCACCAAAGAAAAATCTTTGAAATATCAGTGGAAACATGCAAAATACGGGTCATTAATAATACACATTTTTTGACATTCGTTGTAATGCAAATGATAATATTGCAATTTTTTGAATATTTGACCTACATTTTTAAGTAAGAGGTATGTTTATAAAATTTATACTCATTTCACAGTATTTTATTACCTTCTGGGAGATTTTCAACTTTTATCCTGTCACAAAAATATTAATTGAATGAAAATATTTTTTTTTGTAATTTTGTCAGGTGTATGAATACTTGTGAGCCTAAATTTATTTATACAGTTTAATAATAGTTAAAACATTTAGTCCTTCTTATTAAAGCAGGAGAAAAACTTCTGTAAGTTTTGTACATTGGAAAGAAAACATGTAAGGATTCTATCTAATGCAAGCTAGCATCTTAACTAAGATGCTAGCTTACAGCATCTTAGCTAAGATGCTAGCTTAGTATCTTAAGCTAGCATCTTAGGAAAGATGCTAGCTAATGACCTTAGCCAAGATCCTCAGAGCTGTGTTTACTCCAGATATTTTGTTAGACATTTAAAAATAAATATTAAATGTTATAGATTTTATATGTGAAATTTTGCTGGACAGTAGAACAACTTTCTAAACTCAAGTTAATCTGGAGGAAAGTAGAGTCTGTAAAAACTGACAGAGAAAGCACAGCTTCCAATGAAATGGATTTTGACAGTACTGTACTATATATGAGTATATAGTACTCATAAAATTTAGTGTGAATTTTACTGTTGTGTTTTAATGAGGTTTTTCTTTGTTTTGTTTTTACAAATAGATTGCTTCTTTATTTCATTTTTTTATTACAAAATGCTACAACTTAGAAAACTACATATTTGGTCTACTTTATTGTTGAAATGATGAATACTTTTAGGTTTAGGCAGCTTGCAAAAGACAGACGCGTCGTTTTTCAAACCGGGCTGCTGTGGGAGGCAATGCAGATCTAGTTGCTGTTCACCTCATTCTAGTAGCAAAATCTTTTATTGCATTGAGTTAAAATGTTTTCAAAGTTTCTGTTTCCATTAAGTGAATATGTTTTTATCGAAATGTCAAATTACGCAATTTTATGGTTAATGGAAATGTATCTACTGTATCAATAAAAGAACTAACGAAACTTAAAATGATCAAATTATTTTGAAAAAAAAAATGTTTCCTTACTTAAAAAAAACAACATTGAAAAATGCCAAATGACACAAATGCTGTGTATGAGATGCTGCTATACTGGATTTATATTAACTATTCTTCATTCTGATCTCAACCAATAAGTCTGATAATATTAAATACACAGAGTTTTAAAAGCTACTTCTTTACCTAACAACATGTGGAGTCTTTCAGTAAAATCCTACTGCGGTCTTGAACCGCTTCGTATGTGAGTCCTGAGGCAAAATGGTGCCTCAGTGCTGAATTGTGAGAGAAGTTAAAAAGTCAGCATGGTCAGTCTGTATCGAAGGCCCAGAGGGAATCAGTCAATCAATAATGCAACGAAGCGCAATACCTGCAGTCTGTCTTACAGACGTATGCACACCTGTCACTGTTCCGAGGGGGCTGGAAAAATACGTCCCTGTGTGCAACTAAATGAAACAGAAAGAAAAGGGAATGACAGATGTGTGCATGGAGGTGAGAATGTGTCCGACCCACAGACTTATCTACATGGAGCTCAGCTGGTTCCCTCAGGTCTTATTAGTTTATCCCTGTACGGTTTAAAAGAGAAACAAGTCCAGGAAAAGTACAGGAAACTTCGGACAGCTTAAGTGATGTTTAGTTGGTTGGGACTGTGACCTGAAAACACATGTGTGTGAGAGAAATATTCATATTAAAACACTGGAATGAACAGATGAAATCATTGTATGAACACATAGGACGTCTGAATTCCCAAAATAAGACTTGAAAACAAAAAGAAGTATTGAAAATGAAAGGTTATGAAGATTAAATGTTCATATAATGAATTTCATCAATTCACATGCAAATACATCTTAAATGTTAGATGTGTAACTTTTATTTAAAAAAATCTGTTTTGATATTTGATAACACTATCTCCATTTCTGAACGGTATGGTATCAGACAGATAATCTGTGGAAAAAATTGAGCTCCCAACATTCCTCTTGCTCCAAATTAAATTAATGAAAGCCTGAGCAACATGGACTCCACTGCTACCTTCACTTCCTCTGCTGCCATTGTTAAAGTTACAGGTAGACTACAGTTCTGAAACTGTAGTCTACAAAAGAAAATCAACGTTTTTCTTTTGTTCGCTGATTGCTCTGGTTGAAATTCTGCCAGAGAAATCCAGCTCAATAGGAGAAATCCCAGAGCACTGAAGAAAGATGAGATTCAAGCAGAACTGTGCAGGAAGGCAGTGGCCTGGTTAAATGTGATCCAAAGTAGGAAGAGATATGAAAACTCATTCTCATTCACTTCAATGGCTTCCAATCAATCAATCAATCAATCACTTTACTTTGGTAAATTGTCCACATCAAACACAGGAAACAAAGAAAAAAACAATAAATAAAGCCACAGAGTATTTTATTTACATTTGCTAAGGTGTCAAAGGTCAAGTGCAGTTTTGCAACATGTGGCACAGAGTGAACTTTAGAGTGAACTTTAGAGTGAACTTTAGATCCATGTCAAATAATGAAAGTTCTCTTTATGAGTATCAGCTTTTTAATGATGCTGAAAGATTAATATTGACACCCAGTCATGTCATAAAATGGTCCAGAAAAAAAATTACTTTGTCACTATGATGATTTCAGTAATGTTCCTCCCCTTTTAACATCATAGACTATGAACAGCCCAACATCTGGACCAGTATGTTTTCATATGAATGTTTTTTCTTATTAAACCCTAATCTAGTGGTAAAATAGCATGTCACTTTTTGGCATTTGTTCAGGACACTTCAGGCTACATGAGCTTCATTTATTAGGCAGGAAAATGGTCAGAACCTTGATATCGGACTTTCTGTGGTTCCTGTCATTGTAATTTGGAGCAGAATTATGACTGTGTAAAGGTAACCTCGCTGGTTAAGATCAAGAAAAACAAAAATGTATGGTGAATTAAAACAGGTAAATTTTAAAGCAAGATGATTAGACTGGCCTTTTACATTAAAAATGTCTTAGTCCATCTTTCTGATCTACTGTATCAATAACCCATGACTTGTTTCTTCTTTTTCCTTTACACAAACTGAAGTCAGAAGTCAGGATGACAAATTATGAAATCAACACTGCCACCTGTACTTAGACAGCTGTAGAAAAAGACTGTTGAGTTCTATATTCTAGAGATGTAATTTGAAACCTAAGCATAGAAAATGCCACTTGCAATAATCAATGTTTAACTGAAAAGTTGAGATGTCCATTAAGTAGAGACACTTATTGCTAATTCTAATCAGAATGAAGTATCGAATCAGTATTTGAAATTAATATCTTTTCTGTAACATGTAGTAATATGCATCCAAATAAATGTTTTGTGGATATATTAATATTGATTCAGCTCAGTGTGATGTTATGGTGAAGTCATCAGGTCAGATTGACTTAAAAGTTGAAGCTTTGTGCCATAAAATGAATAGAAACTGGAAAAATCTAAAAGAGATTTTAAACGTAAATCTCCAACATTCACATTTTCTTTATAAAAGCATCAAAACTTACAAAATAAAACTGAACTTAAAAAATTTCAGACACAAAGATTACAATTATGATAAAAGCAATACATTTTAGAAAACAGACACAGTCACGATTATAATAAAGAAATGATCCATATTCAGACACATATTCGATTTGAAAACATTAAAATGTCCTCTAGTCACAAGAAAAATGTGTTAATCTGAACTAAAACATCAAGTTACATTTCTTTGTCAAACAAGTCTAAAAGAGCAGCTAAAACTAAGTTTAAAAAAACTCTTTTTTTTAAACAAATGAAATTAAACGTATAAGAAACAAAAACTAAAGTAAAGCGTAAACAGATCTGCTGATGAAATCTTATACAATAATTTATAACAGAATCCAATCCTCAGGATTGGATTCTGTTAATGTATTGAATTGCTGTTTAATCATTAACTTAATGATAAAAATGAATGATTCCTGATTAAGGATTAGCTGATCTGAACATCAGTACCAACAACAATTGTTCTAAAAAATAAATCAATGTAACTACGATTGGTTAAGGTGAATAGAATCCTTCTAAAGAATTAGTCTCCATGGCTGAACAGAAACAGGTATGGGCAGCACCAGACAGGAGAAGTGGGAGAAGTCTCTTACCCAATGACACAATGGAATAGATGGAAAGAGTGGTGTAGGGTTGCAATAAAAAAAAATCAAACAAAGTCCAGAAGTTGTAGAGCTCTCATTCGTTTTATCTCTTTGTTCAAAAACATTTCCATCCAGTTACAGCATGACATGTTCACACACTAGAGGGAGAGTCCCCTCTGATCTAACACACCTGCCTTTTAAAGCATTGGCTCTTCCTTGACTAATTAAGGGGTGGAGTCAACATTTACAAGTGAAAAAAAACATTTGTACTACACTATATTCCTAGAAAGAAATTTACATTTCAACTAACAACCTTCAAAACTAAAACAAAAACAATCTGGGCCCCAAATTAAATCCAAACACATCTCCCTTCCCTCTCAAACAATAGATTCTGAGGTTGATTGAAACACCAGGTCCTTGTCAGCACTGCTCATGGGCGCGCTTCCATGGCAACACCTGACCAGGTGACCTCAAAGAGAAGAAAAATGATTAAAACAAAAACACCAAACAAAGCAAGTTGCTTCCTCCACACAAAATACACTTAATAAATAAATCGGAATATAGAAGCACAAACACATCACCTTTTAGGGAGGGGTAAATCCCTCACAAGTGGCAACATACCAGTTACAGGAAAAACTCTTTCCACCATCGCCATTGTTGCTCCAGAAAACAGTAAAACATAGAGGATAGTGTGCATCCTGTGAACCGTGAAGATTGGTCAGTTTTCATAGTGTACTGATTGCATTCATTTCTTGTAGAGGAGAAGACCTCACTGGTATCTACATGTCAGAGTTTCTAATGAGGAGGGGAGTCTATCCACAGACACAGACTAAGGCTGACTGGTATCACCTAAAGTCCGATATCACCTAAACAACAAACCAAAAGACAAAATATCAGCTGATCTCTAATCAGTCAAGAGGTGATCCAACAGTGAAGTCCTAGCATCAACAATGCAGACTGAGGAACCGAAACTAAAACATATATTTTAAGCAGCTGATCTTCAATTTACTTCTGTCTATCTCAGGTTGATGAACTCAGCTGAGTCTCCATCATCATAAAACCCAACTCCAGCATGTAGCGGCTGGGTGAATGTGGTCCAGACTCTGTGGAGGAGAGTCATGGTTTCAGAGACACTGTAGAAAGACAGAATACCTGCTGTGTGATCCAGGTACACTCCTATTCTAGAGGAAACTGGGCCTGACACACAGATTTTATCACCATTATGATAAAATATGTACCTGTCTCTGTTACAATATAAAACCCACGATTTGTCATTGTATCGAAAATCACTTCTACTTCCTGATCTGCTGATATTCTTGTACGAAACTGCTACTTCAGTTTTTCCTTGCCTTTCCACCTCCCAGTAATGACGTCCAGTCAGACTCTGTCTACTCAGAACCTGATCCCAATCTTGAAATCTGTCTGTATGATAAGAATAATACAGTATTTTCTTTTTTGTTGCTTTTCTGTTTCCCTCAGATAATAGCAGTTTTCTGTATGCTGTGTTTGAATCCAGAGTTATTCCTTCATAATATTTTAAGAAGTCATTTCTGGTCTTTGGTTTTGACAGTAGAACATCCACCTCAGTGACCATCAGTTTAATGTTTTTCCATGTGTTTCTCAGGACGTCCTGTAGATTAACCCTGAACGCTGACACAACTGCTGTCACGTCCTCAAAGTGTCTCAGAGGACGGACATTGATGGTGAATGGACATTTAGACTCACTGAGTTCTGGTAGTGAGAGGTAGTTGAGGAGAAACTGGTTGTGATCCTGTGTGTGTGAGAGCTGCTCCAGCTCAGCGTCTTTCCTCTTCAGCTCACTGATCTCCTTCTCCAGCTTCTCCTGAAGATCTTTGACTCGACTCACTTCAGTTTTCTGCTGGGATCTGATCTGCTGCTTCACCTCAAAGCTTCTTTTCTGGAGGAGACGGATCAGCTCAGTAAAGATCTTCCTACTTTCCACCACAGTTTTATCAGCAGAGACATTGATGGTCTTCAACTCCTTTTGAAGCAGCTTCACATCTTTCTCTCTGTCCTGGATTCTCTGCTGGATTTCTTGTCGACTCACCTGAAGCTTCTTCTGCTTCTCAGCTCTTTCTGCTGCAGCTGGGACTATTTCATGGCCTTTATGTTCACCAATAGTGCAGAGATAACAGATACACTGCTGATCAGTACGACAGAATATCTTCATCACTTCATCATGACAAGAGCAGATGTGCTGCTGAAGATTAGCAGAAGCTTCAACCAGTTTATGTTTTTTAAAAGCAGAAGACTCATAGTGAGGTTGGAGATGATTCTCACAGTAAGAAACCAGACAAACCAGACAGGACTTTGTAGCTTTCATCCTCCTCCCAGTGCAGACATCACAGGCCACATCTCCAGGTCCAGCATAGCAGTGGTCAGCTGGAGAATCATGGAGTCTGCTTTTCTTCAGGTCCTCCACTAACTCTGCTAACAGGGTGTTTTTCTTCAAGACAGGCCTCTGACTGAAGGTCTCTCTACATTGAGGGCAGCTGTAGGTTCCTTTCTGGTTCTCTCCATCCCAAAAGTCTTTAATACAGTTCATACAGTAGCTGTGTCCACAGGCTGTAGTCACCGGGTCCTTCAGTAGATCCAAACAGATAGAACAAGAGAATCTTTCCCGCTCTGGCTGGACTCCTCTCTGCGCCATTTCTTCTCTCAGTGAGAATGAGTGTGAGTTTCACTTCCTCATAAATGAAACTGAAGTCTGCTCTAAATGTGATGTGTTGCTGTAGGGAGGGAGGCCTGCGAGCTGTTAGATCAACCACTGATCTGAAGGGAGGGAACAAAGAACTGTGACGACAATGAGCCTCAGTAGTAGGAGGAGTTTCTGTTGAGTTAAGAAAGAGCTTTGTGCTGTGACTGTGTGTCTGTCTGTGGTTCTTTCTACCCTACATCCTGTCATCGCAGGGTGTTCTACAGCTGAAACTCTTCAATCCCAGCCAGAAGAAGCTTAAGAGAAGTGAATTCCTCTGAGGCTAATGCAAGATAGATCCACTGCATGAATGGTTACTGTCATTTTGTACTTTTTTCTTCAATGACCCTCATTATTGTCCTCATTTTAGGAAACCAGTACCAGGCCTCATTCTTTCCTGAATCTTTATATTCTGTTGCTTCACTGCACTTCTGGCTGCTTCTCTTGTTCATGCTGAGCAGATCCTATATCAGCAAACCATCACACTCACCCACCTGCCTCCTCTTCAACAATCCTCAGTCTGCCCCACATCTATCTGAGAAGAAAGACAAAAAAAATTATTCAACAACAAACACCAGTCGGCCTTAGTCTGTGTCTGTGGATAGACTCACCTCCTCATTAGAAACTCTGACATGTAGATACCAGTGAGGTCTTCTCCTCTACAAGAAATGAATGCAATCAGTACACTCTATGAAATCTGACCAATCTTCACGGTTCACAGGATGCACACTATCCGCTATGTTTTACTGTTTTCTGGAGCAACAATGGCGATGGTGGAAAGAGTTTTTCCTGTAACTGGTGTGTTGCCACTCTTTGCATCTATTCCATTGTGTCATTGGGTAAGACACTACTCCTACCTTGGCGTGGCTTCTGTCAGTCTGTCACAGTGCAACTATGGCTACAATGTAGCTCATTACTGTCAGTGTGTGACTGTATGTCTGTGAATTGATGAATTACTGAATGTAATGTAAAGTGCTTTAGAGTCCTCTGAACTAGATACAGTGCTGTACAAGTACAGGCCATCTACCATTTTACCATTGGACATGCAGGGATAAGATCACACTGACTAGCCCTTCTAAAATGATCCATTTTCATCTCAGAATATTGTCACAGAATATTTCCGCAAGTCGTTTGGCTTATTAACATTTTTTGTGGAAGATGTAATAAGGTCCTCATTTTTGGTGTTTTGCTTTGAAACTCTGCAGATGTATTTTTTGTCCAGTCTGAAGCACGTGAGATCTGTAGTGCCTGACATCAATCATGCTCTGGGTTCTGTTATGAACTCCTGACCTGCTGGTCGGCCACCACTGGGAAGGTTCATCACTGGAGACTTATATGTTTGCTCTGTTCTATGTTGTTGCCTTTGTTTTTTTTTTTTAATTCCTTGAGTCTGGTCATGAAGTGTTGCTTTTTTTTTAATTATTTGACCTCAAGAAGCCTTGATAAGGCAAAAATAGTTTTGATAGCACCTCATAGCTGCCTGGACTAGTTTAATTAGCACTATCTGTGTTAAAGGGTGAGGTTAGGCCCAGTTCAGGTATGGAACAGTTCTCTTAGTGTATCAATAACAGCCTTGAATGATGAAGGCATATTAATACCCAGTTATGTCATTAAATAAATCAGAGATAATTCACTTTGTTATTATGATTATTATTGTAATTTTCCTCCATTTTTAACATCAGAGATCATAAACACCTGACTATCTGGGTCAGTACTGTATGTCTTTAAATAACATTTTTATTAATATTTTTTATTAAAAAACTAACTTGAAATGTTTTTTGTTAGTTTTTTTGTATATTTGTCAAAAGTAAGGTGACAAAAGGCTAATTCAATAAACCTGAAATATTTTAATATCAGGTCCATTTTGTTGGATGTTCTGTGGTTTGTTTCATTGTAATTCAGAGCTGAACTGTGACAATGTAAAGGTGATTTTCCTACCTATGAAATAAAAATCCGGTGAATAAGTGTAAGTTATGATAAATTAATTAAAAGTAAGTACATTGTAAAACACAGTGATGAGGTTTACATTTCAGGCTGGATAAAACCTCTGATGTGGTTCTGTTTCTATCCTAGTCGATCCTTCAGGTCTGATTTACTTCTTCCTTTTACTTTACAGACTCAGCACACAGAAGTCAGGATGTCATTAAGTTTAGCAGACAGAAGTTTGCCAGCTGTATTTAGATATCTATGAGGAAAATAATGATTTTAAAATCTTTATTGTTTATATTTTAGAGGAGACAAAATTGAAACCAGACCCTAGATAATAACATCAGTGTCTAGAAGCAGCATTTCATTCAAGGTTTGAATGAAATGCTTATTTATTTATTTTTTTATTTTATTTGAACACTCACATGTTTATGTGAGTGTTCATCTATAAAGTGTTAAAATAACACTTTATAGAAAAAATGAGGACCTCACTGATGTAAATATCATTACTTTTACCATGTGGAAATGTGCAACTAAATAAAAGGATGATGAGCATTACAACCTAATATTATTTTAGTTCAGTGTGACATTATGGTGAAAAGCTTTAAAAAACACTAGGTCAGAATCTGACCAAAAGAGCCAGAGTTCTGTGCTATCCATTTAATAGAAATGATAATATTTAGTGAGACATAAACACAGATTTGCATCATTCCATAAAATTTTATTCATAAAGAATTTAGTTTGTAAAAAGACAAACATTTCAAAATTGTGATTTGATTTGATCAAATAAAATAACAATTATAGTTATTATAAAGAGTTCTATTCAGACACATATTTGGGTTGAAAATGTTAAAATGTACTTTATTCACAAGCAAAATAACTAACAATAAAACCTTGTTTTACTTTTCACTTTCAAACAAGTAGAAGAACAGCTAAGGCTAACTTGAAAAAAAAAAGTTTAAAAAATGCAATGAAATTTAAGACACAACAACCAGAAACAAAGTAAAGTTTAAAAAGACCAACTGATCAAAAGACCATCACCACACAGACAACTGATCTCTAATCAGTGAAGAAACGATCCAACAGTGAAGTCACAGCAACAACAATAGAACCCAAAGAGACTAAAACACACATTTTGACTAACTGGACCTGAATACACTCCTATGTAAGTTAAATGAACTCAGCTGAGTCTCCATCATCATAAAACCCAACTCCAGCATGTAGCGGCTGGGTGAATGTGGTCCAGACTCTGTGGAGGAGAGTCATGGTTTCAGAGACACTGTAGAAAGACAGAATACCTGCTGTGTGATCCAGGTACACTCCTATTATGGAGGAAACTGGACCTGACACATCAATTCCACCAGAGTCGTGATAAAATGTATAACTGCTTCCATGGCAATATGAAGACCAGGATTTGTCATTGTTTCCAAAATCACTTTCATCTCCTGATCTGCTGATGTTCTTATATGAAACTGCTAGATCAACTTCTCCTTCCCACTCCACCTCCCAGTAACAACATCCTCCACTGTTTTATCAGCAGAGACATTGATGGCCTTCAACTCCCGATGAAGCAGCTTCACATCTTTGTCTCTGTCCTGGATTCTCTGCTGGATTTCTTGTCGACTCACCTGAAGCTTCTTCTGCTTCTCAGCTCTTTCTGCTGCAGCTGGGACTGTTTCATGGCCTTTATGTTCCTCCATAGTGCAGAGATAACAGATACACTGCTGATCAGTACGACAGAAGATCTTCATCACCTCATGATGACGAGAGCAGATGTTCTGCTGAAGATTCTCAGACGGATCCACCAGATTGTGTTTCTTTAAAACAGGAACATCGTAGTGAGGTTGGAGATGATTCTCACAGTAAGAAACCAGACAAACCAGACAGGACTTTGTAGCTTTCATCTTCCTCCCAGTGCAGAAATCACAGGCCACATCTCCAGGTCCAGCATAGCAGTGGTCAGCTGGAGAATCTTGGAGTCTGCTTTTCTTCAGGTCCTCCACTAACTCTGCTAACAGGGTGTTTTTCTTCAAGACAGGCCTCTGACTGAAGGTCTCTCTACATTGAGGGCAGCTGTAGGTTCCTTTCCGGTTCTCTTCATCCCAGAAGTATTTAATACAGCTCATACAGTAGCTGTGTCCACAGGCTGTAGTCACTGGATCCTTCAGTAGATCCAAACAGATGGAACAAGAGAATCTTTCTCGGTCCATCTGAACTCCTGCCTGCGCCATTTGTCCTCTCAGTGAGAATGAGTGTGAGTTTCACTTCCTCATAAATGAAACCAAACTGCTCTGAAGGGGCGGACAAATGAATTGTGACACTATGGTGAAGTAGTAGGAAGTGTTACAAGGTTGGTGAACTCAGGAAGAGCATTGAGGTGTGTGTGTGTGTGTGTGTGTGTGTGTGTGTGTGTGTGTGTGTGTGTGTGTGTGGGGGGGGGGGGGGGGGGGGTGGGGGGGTGGGTGGGTGGGTGGGTGGGTGTGGGTGGGTGGGTGGGTGTGTTGTTTTCCTACCTCCCATAACTGAAGTTATTCAGGCCCAGTCAATACAAGAACTTCAGATTAGTGAAATCCTCTGATGCTGATTCTCAATAGTTGCTACTCATTCTCATTTTGTTTCTTGTACTTTTCCCCCCAATGGCCCTCATTGTAATCCTCCTTTCAGGAAACCAGTTTCAGTTCTCATTTGTTCCTTTGACATCTTTGTTTTGGCTTCATGCTTTCCAAGTTTGTTGTCAAACTCACTTTCAAGCTTTTTGTGCTTTATCACTCCCCTTGCTGCTCCTCTGGATCATGATGATGTGTTGATTCCTCATCAGCAAACCACCACTTACCTGCCTTTTCAGTTTCCATCAATCCTTCATTTTCTCCACCTCCATCTGAAAAAAAGAGAAAAAGGAAAGCATTCAAGAAACAAACACCAAGCAACCTCAGTCTCTATGGATAGACTCATCTTCATAAAAACTCAGCCATGTGGAGATCTGTCAAGTGTTGTCTCTTGCCCAACATATTATTATCTTCATAACCACTTCCCTCTCATCCTTCCCCTAAACTTTCTTTTTATATAATTAGATGCCTCTACAAAGCTTACAATGGCTTTTGGTTTTGTATTCCCCCATCTTTCTTTTTGGGTTCTTTTGAGCCTGGTTGTAACCAGGTCCATTGTAATTTCATTTTTAATTACAATCAAATATTTAATGTTTAATTGTTCATTTTTGTGTGTTTCTTTAAAGCCCTTTGAACCACCCTGCTGTTGAAGTGTTCAACAGCAGGGTGGTGTTAATCAATCAAATAAAATTTGATTGATTGATTGATTGATTGATTGATCGATCGATCGATCGATCGATCGATTGATTGAACGAACGAACGAACCAGTGGTTCCGAAAAAGAAAAAAAAATAAACTGGGCACACACCTCATTCAACCAGACATAAAGCGATACACTTTTTTTTTTTAACTCCACTGAAGTTTATTTCACATTTCAAGTTTTAACAAAACTACAAACCATCTTTACAGTGAAACACTTTGTGTAACTGTTTTTGGTTTGTTTCATTTTGTTTTTTCACTGCTTTACCAGTGATCCACCACACTCACCTGCCTGTCCACTCCCTGACAATCCTCTGCCTCCTCCTCCTCCATTTGGAAAAAGTGACAAAAAGGAATGCATTCACCAGTCTTCAATACGCTCCACCATGAAGTCTCTACCGTCGACAATGTGCATAGTCTGCTCGCAAAATACATACAGTGCGCCTGTATGTATGAGTAGGTTCGAGCATTAAGTCTATCAAACTAGAACTCCCTATGATTAACATTTGCCTGGAGTAACTGTGATGATGATAGATGTTTGTCCTGATTATAAGTGTACTGCCATCTGAACCCCCACTCTGTCTGTCCCAGTCATTGTGCCTTCATGACATAAGATTTTTATGTGTATTATGTTTCTAGAACATAATTAAAGTGGAGTGGAACCCTTTGGGATAAATAAATAATTCTTAATCAGTCCTTTAGGAGCAGCACAAGGGTGTGGTTGTGCCTGCAGGGGGCAGAGAGGATGGATGGTGGACAGATGAATTCCACAGCTCTTGGATGTGCACTTTATATATCTGTACCATTTCCCTAATAGCAGCAGTACAAACTGTTTGTGTCCTGAGTGGGTGGGATCAGCAGCAATACAACTGGTGTTGAGCACCAGGTTGTTCTCTGAACACCATTGGGACAGCTTCTGGATCTTCTCTCTGTACAAGTTTTTCTTATTGTTTGTTGTTAGACCAATCATGATGGTATCACCTACAAACTTTAGAACCCTGTCAGAGGAGTGGATGGCTACACAGTCTTGGATGAACAGTGTAAAAAGAAACAGACTTATATCCCAGCCTTGCGGTGTGACTGTATTGAGGACCAGGGTGGATGATGTTTGGCACCCGATTCTCACTACCTGAGTTCTGTTGGTGAGAAAGTCCCTCCCAGGTCATGGAGGTTCACTATAAGCTTCTCCAGTATTATAATGCTGAAGTCAATGAATAGCATCCTGACATAAGTGTCAGGATGCTGCAGATGTGTCAGGGCTGTGTGTAGTGTACTGGAGTCAGCATCCTCTTTGGACCAGTTCCTTCTATAGGTAAACTGGTGCCTATAAAAAGACCAGCAGGAAGGGGATCATTGATGTGTTTTTGGAAGATCCTTTAAAAGTGCTTCATAATAATTGGGATTAATGCAACTGGGTGGTCAATCACAGAAGGCTTTTTTGGTACCATCATAATGATGGAAGACTTAAGGCAGACATGGACATGAAAATGTCTAAAAAATCCTTCCATCTGGTCAGCACATGACTTCAAAGTTCTTCCTGATACCTTATCCAGCTTTGTTGAGAGCTGGTCCTTGCAGTTTCACTCAAAACCAGTACATATGCTGTTCCCACTTCTCCTTGCAGTATCTCCTCCGACTCTTGGGTCACAGCATGGTGATTGTAAAAACCTCATCTGATTGTTGCAGCTCTGGTGGGATTAAATCTTGCTTTACACCAGATGTAATGGGACAGACCCTCCTAAATGATCAGGTTTTCTTTCTCTAAAAATATTATCTCAGAATATTTTCCTGAAGGTTTTTTGGAGTATCAAGATGGGAAATGTAATATGTTTTTTTCAGCAGTGTGTTTGTCTTCAAAAGCTGAGCAGATGCATTTGTTTGATCAGTTTCTTTCTTATTTCTGAACCATGATCTGGTGAGACTTGTAGAGCTTTACATCATGCTCTGGTTCTTTTGTGAACTCCTGAAAAGCCGTCACTGGGAAGGTTCTTCACTGACTCATGTTTGCTCTCTTCATAGATGATGCATCCGACTGTTTTGTTGAATCCCAAACCCCAGAAATGGCTTTGTAACCATTTCCAGACTGATGGATGTTATTGCCTTTGCTTCTCATGCTTTTTAGTCACTTGAGTTTGGATCAACGGGTGTTGTTTTTTTGGAATCCTTCAACCTACTTCATTTTGTCAGTGAGGTTCTTGACTCTACAGATGAAATATGTTTCTACAGCTCAGTAAAATAGCAGTTGGTCAAACTTGACCCCTCATGCCACATTACTTTGGATCAATACAGATGGATCTTCATGCATTGCACACAGTGTTAATACCTACTTGAATATTGAAATCTCCTGGCCTTCCAGATAAAACTGTAACACTAGAACAACAGAGGAAGGATTCGGGTTGCATAAGAAAACAACTAAATTAGTAGCAAAAGTAATTTAATATTTGTTCCATGCTGCTCAGAGCAAGAGGAAGACACAGACTGCACTATCTGTCTCCCTTTCATTTCCCCTCCTGATCCCTTCTGTATCTCTCATGATGAATGAGGGGATGTGCTGTAAATCTGGGATGGTAGAACACACACACACACACACACACACACACACACACACACACACACACCCCACACACGCACACACGCACACACACACACCCACACCCATATAGAGACAGGCGGTGGGTGAATCTGGGCTGGTTGGTTCTTTTATAAATGTGCTCTGCTGTGTTGGGCTGGCTGCAGTGATGACGATGCAGAATGCCATGACATGCAGACACACACACCTCTTCAGAGCTGAACACACACCCATACAAACACTCTGGTGACGTGAAGACATGTTTGAGTCGAAGTTCTCTGGAACCACTTAGCCAACCACTAGTTGTACAAATGGAAGTTGGGATTTTGATAAAACAAACATAAACGTTTGAAAACAAAATAAAGAAGTTAACAAAACATACTCTGAAATAATTCAGTTCATCTCCTTGCTGTGTTTTGATTGATGAATCAAAGCCTCTACATGAAACATTCACATGAGCACATGCGCTGTCTCACTGCTTATCATATGCAAACAGATACACATCAGTACCACATCTGGCTCTCCATCAGTAAGCAGTGACCCAGCGTTAATGCCTTCTAGTGAAAAATACCCTAACTGCTGAGGTCGCACTTCTTCCTCATCATCCCTATTTGTCTCCCAAAGATTAGAGAACATATTTAAAACAGGAGACATCACGTCTTCATCCCTGGACTACTGTTGCTCCAAACCACAACCAGTTTGAGCTGCTACTTGTTTTCCACATATAACTCTGGCCACCAGCCAGTTATATGTGTTTATTTTTTTACTATTATATGGTAATTCTGATGTGCTGAATCAAAAATTTATATTGGTTTTGCTCAATCAGGCCAACTTTCTGACTCTGCTACACATTAGTTTGGGATATTTTTATGCAGTGATGATGGCTGATTACTGAAAATCCCTGCTGCTCAGACGTTCAAGACATTCGTACAAAAGGAAGTTCATGCCATGAATTTTTTACAATGGAGACATAATTTTCAATTCACATGTACTTACTCTTACTAGTGTTTATTACTCAATTTACAGAAATCCAAGTTTGTAACATTTAATTATTATACTCTGTTTGAAATTTTTTTTTTTCTTCTACAACCTTTTTTGGATGAGAATTATTACCAAAGGTGAATTGGAAAAGTCACAAAAATGTTATCAATTTAGTCAGAAGATCAAATTTCTCTAAATCAAATAGGACTAAAATCCTGATTGAGAAAAATGGATATCATTTTTGGATTGAAAAATAGTCCTGATTCAGTTGAAAAAACAGACAACTTATAAAAAATCCATTCTTGTAACCCAGTGTTGCCAGGTTGGTTTTGATAAATTTATTCTCATGAAATAAGATCATATTTCTGGTATATACTCATGATGTCT